ATAGTTAATATTTAGGTTTACATACATATCTATATAATAAAACAGAAAGGAATTTGAATTTTATCCTACACATATTTTTCCTTCTCAAAACTATCTTATCACAACCATCCCTTCCATCTTAACGTTCCCCTCTTTCCTCACCTGACACAGCCGCCTGACACACAGCTGTCAGCTCCCTCCCGCTCTATGAGACTTCTCCATCCCATCCTCCTTCACCTCTCCATTCCATCCTTTTCACCCATCTTTTAATTTTTTTTCTCTTTTCCTCCACTCCCCTTCTCTCTCTAACCAGTGTTCATGAGTTTTGCGAGCAAGAAGCGAAGTGCCCAGAATCAATGAGAGAGACAGAGTGAACTCACCGAGTGGGTGAGTTCCATCTCTCAATTTTCAAAGCTTAAATGCTCTCTCAGTCTGTGTTTTCCTTCCAATTCCATTTCTGTGAAGCCAATGTGAGCAGATGAACTTCCATTATTGTGTTTTTGACTTGGGTTTTTTGTTTGAAGTTGTCACGTTGATCTGGAGATTTGGGTTTTGAAAACGATTAGATTAAAAGCGAAAGACAAAAAGGAAAAAGATTTTTGTTTCACCCAACAACAATGTCACTCTTCATTCAAACTCAGAACTTTTATCCAAGTAGAAAAAAAGACTGATGGCTTCTCCAAGGTACTCGGTTCTGTTCTTTTTACTCTGTTATTGTTTCTTTGGCAAGATCAGAGGACGCCCAAGCTCTTTTAGAGTTGAAAGCTTCGGTAGATCCATCAAACTCGCTTCAATGGCGAGGAATAGATGTGTGTAAATGGTAAGGAATCAAAGAATGCCAGAAAGGAAGGGTCAAAAGAAAAAATGCCAGTCCGGCGACATCTCCAGCGCCATCGCCACTGCGATATTATTTTTCATTCGATCAATTTTGTTGTGTTCTATTTTTAAATTTAACTCTGTCTAATTTTTTCAATATTGATTGTGGGTCTAATTAAAGAGTCTATTGGGTATAGAGGAATACCTGTTGCTGATGCGAAACGGGGGCATTTGGAAGAGTCCACGAGCTTGAGAGAGAGGCACTGACATGGAGCTTGGGGAGTCAGTGAGGTGAGGAGTGAAGAATGGGGTGATAGAGAGGGCGAGTGAAGTAAGGAGGTCACGGCGGTTGATGGGTTGGAAGCAATTTTGTGGGTATTTGGGATTTGAAGGTGGAGGAAGAAACGGACATGGCGAAAGACCTATGTTGGAGACGAAGACTGTTGGCATTATTCAACGACCAAGGGAACTGAATTCTACAATTTTGAGTAAGGTGTGCGTGTGCGTGTGCGTGGGTGGGTGGGTGGGTGGATGGATGGGTGTCAGTGTGCCAATTATTAATATGGATTATAGATATGTGCCAATTATCAAGCAAATAAAAATAAAATTTTAGTTAAAATATTTGTATGATATTGAGAGTTTTTGTATTACATGGTTAGTGCTTAATTTTATGTTGCATAATGTCTTCATGTTTGAATGTTGTCTATTTTTTTAAAAAAAAAGTGGTTGTCGCGATTTATTATTAGAATTTTTATTTTTCATATAGGTAATATTTTGTTAATCATTTATATAAAATGCAGATGCATTTTAGGCTTTCAACTTAGTGTCGGTCCAAGTTTATTGTTTAATATTTAGTGTTTGTTCATTTTCGTGTGTGTCTATGTTCATTGTTTGATTGTTCGTTTTCAAGAGCAATGTAATTTTTTTTTTTTGAATTGCACAATTTTAGGCACGGATTATGAGTTCAGTGTTTGATTATTTTGTGCCAAATTCAGTGCTCGATGTTTTTTGAATTACACTATGCTTTCAGGCACGAGTTATCTCTAGTGTATTTATATTGAAACAACTTTTTATAGCACACATACATAATTCTCCCCTTTAGCATCATCAAAAGTAATCCAAGTCATTTCCAATCACTTGTCAAGGGTAGAGAGATACTTAATGTAACACATAATATTATAATTTTCTAAGCATAACCATAATATGTATTACATACATGTGTATCTCAACGCATAATGAAGATATTTTTGTTGAGTTCAAAAGATGAGTAATGTTAACACATAACATACGGTTTTTCGCAACCATCCAAGCAGCATATTGCATTGCACATCACATCACGTGTTAATTCAAAATCATCCATTGCATGTATTAAGCTTTAAAGCATCCATACAACTTTAAAACTATCAACCATAGGATGAAAAATATCCAAAACATCTTAAAATATTCAACATAAATTAACAACATCCAACAAAATTTTAAAAATATCCAAAACACCCTAGGATAGAAAGCAACTATTAAGTCTTAAAACATAACCAACAAACCAACGTCCAAAACTTCATCCCACGAAGAGAGGAGGAAGTGGTCCAAATTGGATGTAGAGGTGATGCGTTATCCCATCAACCTTGGTGTGAAGACCCTCCATGCTAGTTGTCAACTCATCCACCAATTTGCAGAGAGGCTTAAGATCACTCATAGTAGCAAAACGTCCCATCAAGATGGTCCCCTCCATGTCATTATCATAAAGCTCTTTGGTCCTTTGTGGATCATCATCTTCCATGACAAAATTTTCCAACATCTCTTCGATCTCATCACCTCCTTCACCAGCCGCCATTGCTCTCTTTTCTTTACAAATCACATTTTCCCTAGTATCAAGCCCCATTAGTTTTAGAGTGGTGCTATCAAAGAAAGTCTTCTCAGTCACTACTTTCTCATGATTGAGGTCCACTTTGGATTTCTCAAAAACCTTAGTACAGAGCATACCATAGGAAGATTGCTATCCCTTTTATCCATAAGTGTCATGAATTGCGTAATAATGTAAGGGAGATTAAGCATACGTGCAATGAGGATGGAATGGATTAGGAAAAGTTGGAAAGAAGTCACCTAATTAACATGTCCTTCCTTCAGAACTACATTCTTGATGAGAAATTTGTTGATAATTTTAGACATATCTAGCATATGCTTGGTCTTAATTTTCATGCCTTTAGTGTAGTTATTCCCACATATCATTCTCATAGCTAGGTTGACATCCTCCATACGACCTTTCAAATTTCCTCTCTCCCAGGAAAATATCTCATCACCTTCATTTGGTGCCTTAAGAAGTTTTTGTAAGCCTCTTTTTGGCTAAGAGTAATCTTAACCCTCTTCACCATTGATATTATCTTACCCGAACTAGTCTCATTAAGATTTGTGTAGAACATTCAAATTAATGTAGGATGAGAGGGGCCATCTAGTTCCATGAAATCAATCCATTTCATGATGTCAAATAGTACATCCACACCCAAATGAGAAAGCGTGAAGAAATTAATGAACAGACCTTCTATGAGGTTTTTCGATTGTTACCGAGTCCATCGTACAAATTCATAATGAGATCCAACTGTGGATGTCACAAGGCCACTAA